GTAAACCGTTGAGACGAATACAAGCACAATTTGTATTATTTCTTGATAAGCTTGCACGAGGTTGATAAATATATTTATTTTCGGCTAACGTTTCGACGTCTTTGTCTTCCTCACGACCTCTGCACGATGAGCGCAATGATGTATGTCCGGAAGAAATACAAGTTGTTACCACCGGACATTGTCATTATATATCCACCATCAGCATCGTGTATAAAAGGGCACCACTGAGTGAGGATGCCTCATTCGAGAAGATGGCTCACTGAGGAAGATCTGGCTCGACACGAAGGCGAAGTCGCAACGTCGAGGCGAACAACAAGCATGGACCATCGACTCGGATCACCGGCTCTGAGGAAGACGAAGACGTCGAAACGTTAGCCGAAAATAAATATATTTATCAACCTCGTGCAAGCTTATCAAGAAATAATACATATTGATTAGTCACACCGAGGTTTAGTGAAGGTCGGTTTCGAAGTATTACAAGCACAATTGTTCCAAAAGTTCTTTAAAAACTCGATGTAAACGTCTCAAATGCTTGAGAGCAATTGAGGAAAACTAGAAAGTCGAAGAATCTCGATAAATGGATGCCGCCCAAATTGAATGAGTATCAAGGAAAGTAGCTGTTTTATCGTCTGCGCCCATTCTACACAACCAGAACGACTAGGTTTTCGACAGCATTTTGAGGTGTGGAGACAAATGATTGCTCTGTGATAACCAACAACGATAGGCTTAATAGTTGGACTGCGATGAAACTCTGAGGCATATTCCAAAGCCGAAGCTGAATCGAAAGAAGATCATGCTGTATTTGTTATGCTGCCGCTGACTTCATTCATCGCAGCTTCCTTGGTCAGTGCGAAACAATTACGGCGGAGAAGCACATCGAGAACTCCGACGAGATGTCCATGGAAATTCAACGATTGAGCGTATTAGTGGTCAACAAAGAGGGAACAGTACTTCTCCACGATAACGCAGAGCCACACGTCGCACAAACGACGCTACAATAGTTTAATGAGTTCTGTTTCCTCATCCACCATATTGGCTCATCTGGCCCGTTCTTCCAGCATCTTGATAAGTTCCTGCACGAGAAATACTTCAGAGACCAAGTTTTCAGAGCTGTCTTCAACGAATTTGTCGCCTCCAAAATTCCAGAACACCATCCAATTGACATAAATAAACTTGTTTCTCGTCACCAAAAATGTGTAGATTTCAATGGTTCCTATTTAGACTAACATAGCTTATTCTGAGATGGGATATGCCAACTTAAAGATGCAGAATGAAAACTTTATTTCCTGAGCATCTTGATAAATATCCATGTCGTGGTTACATGAAAAATCGGTTGTTCACAAATGAGTATTCATATTGAGATCGAAATAGATGGAATCGGTTCCTAGACACGCTGTTACTTGGTAGCAGATTACATATTCGTCACGAAATCAGTATATCTTAAGATTTAATCATGACATTTATGACATCGTTTGCACGAAATAAGTCTTCGCCTTTATCTGCCATCTAAGAATTCGATTGAACGAAGACGTAACGCAAATTAAAAGATCCTTGAATCACGGAGGTTCTGGCTTTTAGTCCAGAGAAGTCGAAGAGTTAAATCGGATTTGAGGACAATTGTTACCTAATTATAGTGTTTTTGGAGGAAGTTTCTTATTTTCCACAGACTTGCTTAAATGTATTACTGCAGCTGAGGCGAAAATAAAATTAAACCAAAAAGCACTACCGTAGCAGACGAGATTTAGAATAAAATGTAGTCGACCAGAAACAGCGATGTAATCATATTGGTATTCGTAATAGTAAAGGATAAAGCATCCTCTATTGATCCTATAAGTATAAGTCACATATTGGACTTCGTCAATTATCGTAGAGATTACCCAGGCCCGTATTTATCTAGTGCAATGTTTTTGTGGCAGCATACTCTGATATCAAGCCAATGTTTCCATCTTTTCAGACTGATTTGGTACCAGTTTTGAGTACGAAGGATGATATCTACATAGTTTGAACATATCCTGACCTAACATACCCGAACAGTGGTGTCTCACTTTGAACATTAACGAACATTAACGCCTTCTGTTCTCCTAAGACGGATGTTATGAATAGCTACGGCGGCCCTAGTCCACGAGCTCCGCAGCCGTATGTTTCGAAAGCTCGGTGCTCAATGTAAAAGAAAAATCTCTAATTGCTTCCACTTTGCAAATAAGAATCGAGAAGTCAGCATGATGATGCACTTACTTTTAAAATTAAATAATTCATAACCGTATCAAAACATGGAGTATGTAATGAAGGAAAAAAAACGACATCCATTTACACGTCCACCTACTTCACATATCTCTTTCAGACTTGACGTATATCTTAAACACCTGGACGCTACGAAAGCTCAATGGAAATTCTGCCAATGTTATCAAGTAGACAACTAGTAAGATGGTGCTAGGATCGATTGTATCATTCAAATGAACAGGTGAAAGAGGGAACCTATATTCCAAACTTACGTCGATAATCAAATATCGGAGAAGCTGTCGTATACAGGAAGATGTTAAAAGTCAGATGCGCTCCATAACAACAAAAAGTGGACAGACGCTGTGTTAATGCATGGAAAACGGCTTACCGAGTAGATGGCAGAATTTTGCAATGATCCTAAGTGAGAGATAGATGCCCTACGTGTTTTTCGAACAAGAAATGACCACTGAGTACTTACTGACAAACTAATAAGCGTTTGAAATAGTTTATCACTAACGGTGGTACGGATGACAGATGTTTGAAGAGACATAGGTAGACTACCTTCTTGTGTTTCGCTTCTTATTAGGCCTTTTGTACTCTACATATTCCACAGTGACTATGATTCTATTTGAACAAATGTACCGTAATTTAATGATGCTCAATAAGTCTCGCATTCAGATTTTGTGGATTGTTGTGATGTTCCGGATAGGGTGTGGCAAACAATTGTTGTTTTTCATTAGATGCATGAAATGAAGAAATTCATTTGGAATTCGTCCACACATGAAATGAGTCTTGACGAGTCAATAAGATCACTCCAACGGAGCTGCTTTTTCTTAAACATCGATACAAATCGAACCTAAAATACGACTCTGGTGCAGTTACAACTCAGTTAGAATAGAGTTAGAGAGTGAGATATAACTGTCACAACAAATAGTTCCATGCAGAGAAGCTTATAAAATCCTGCAAATATCAATCATCAGATTCATTTCAGCTTTCTGTTAACATCGGTAGCTTAAACAAAACTAGTAAAAGCCTTGGTGTTGAAACATTTCTATTATTATCAGTGTTCTCAGACGTCTTTTCTCGAGCAACTTCTTTGTAGTGGTGGAGATGCACTCCTGACAGAGGGGTGGCGCAATCGGCAGTTTTGGAGCCTTCGACGAGCTCCTTGCGGTATTCTTTTGGATTTTCGTCGATTTAGCAGCCATGGGGGGGATAGAACTCTGCTTGGAATTTTTGCTCCAACACATTTTTTCTTTCATGGACGACCACAGCTTTTCCCGAATTCTACAAACGTAGTTGGGTGCAATATTCGTAAGAGACACAATGATCATGTCAAGTCCAGAAATACTGTATCAGAGAAGAGGACGGTGATCTCAAAGATACATATCTCCTGATATGAATGACTTCACCACATGTCATCAGACCACTTCCAATCTACAGCGGTGGCAATTTTTTTCTCAAGAAGAGTGAATTTCCACCAAGCAACTGGGCATCAGAAGGCAGCTCCAAAACGCTTGCAGTCTTATTTCCCAGTTCGGCTTCTTATTCTCATTTTCCCAACATTACGTTCACTCTCCTTGACATTTCTATGCTATTCTGGCACTGAAGTCGCCGAGAACGAATTTGCACTTGAATGGCCACAAAAGGCATATGTACAGCTTTCGCCAGGTGCTATGTATTAGTGAAACAAATATAACAAATGATAGCAATAATCTTCATTTAAGATGGTGCTTGGCGATGGAATCGAGCTGTGATGAGATCTCGTATGAATCGACGTGATCTATAGCAGATTGAACAGGCGACTCCACATATACACATTTTATATTTTATTGAATGAATGGACAATTTGTCACCTAACTTACCAACGCCGACCTATTTAGCGTCTGTTTCCTAAACGCTGATCGCGAGAATCTTAGTACAATGCACCTCCGAAAGAAAACGTAAACATTGGAGTTAGAAAGAACTTCTGCGATTTCGATGCAGAAAAAAAAACACACTTCACAGTGCCAGTATATTCAGAACATTCTATTTAGGCCCTGTACTGCTTCTTGTTTCCACCTGGGAACTTACCGCTTCATAACGTTGGTCTCACCTTCTAACGTCATTGACAAGAAAGACAGGTTCACATTTTTCCTTTGAGGTATTCAATCAGTTATTCAACATCATCTATAAGTCACCACTACATACAATAAAACGATTTTTGACAATCTTAGGCAGATTTGTCGCCATGCAATTCATGCAGTAAGACGACCATGACTACTGCTACTAGTTAGCAATTTTTTATTTGATCCGTCTTCGTCTGCAGTGCGGATCGCAGCACTTCCCTCATTCGATTTGTCTCCTCGCATCCGTTGTTCACGAAGATCTCTCAGCTTTACGTGTGGTTTCGGCTGCTACCTGAGGATTTTCATTTCACCTTGAATGTCGTACAATGCTGGTCGTACAATTCTCCCTGTAGTCCTGAGATAGACGGGCTGGAGTGTACCCAATTCGATTGCAGAGAGTGATTTTTTCCCATACAACTCAAGTACCAATCTCCCGACCCCGGAGGAATGATAGGCTCAGTTGGCCCAAGGCGAATTCGAACTATCAACATGCTCGTGATGACCGGCATCTCTACCACTATGCTATCCGCTCCTTAGTTGACTACACTGTACATCTATTTAGTGATTATTAAAAGAGAGTCGATAGTGCATATCTATCCACTAGAGTTTCCAGATAATGGTAGAAGTGGTATCCTCACTTTTAATTCTCTATCACCCCAAAGTTTCTTCGACTTATATATTCACTGCAAGATGAACTATGGAGACGATGAGGCTGCAGAAGCTGAGTTCCACTTCGTCTTCTCCACCTTTCAATGTTCTTTCTGTGCACCAGGAACAACTCAATTCTTCACGAACACCGTTTGCTCCACCTTCAAGTGTTCTGTGAACTTATACGAAAACCTAGTGAAACGTGCTGTCTAGGATTGCCACCAATCGTCCAGTATGAGAAATGATACAAAATATATAAAAAGAAGGGTACAGAAGGTATATAATAGAGGTTTGATTACTTAATACTTGATACTTGAATGGCCAGCCTCCACTGGTTGTGTGGCCTCAGCATAATCCCCACTTTTCGGAGATTTGTTGGTTAAGCCATTGTGGTTCCCTGGAATCCCAAGCTCAGCCTGACCAAAGTCTGCGCCAGGTCTTCACCACCACAGGCAGTCGCAGCCCTTGTGGATCAGAGAGAGATTTGTCATAATGCGACTTTGATAACAGGATGATGATGGATCCTGGTATTAGTTTACTCCTAGCTAGGCCTCCTGGAAACTCCGGATTCTTTCTCAGCTTGGAAGACCCTGCCAGGAGATGAATCCCCTGCTGTACATCGCAGTCCGACATCCAGCAACACCTCCCGGCCACGGTGAGGGGTAAACCGTTGGGAGGTTTGAATATATAAGAACATCGTAAGTGAAGCAGACACCGTTTAGCCGTCTTCCATTAATGCCACGCCTTTGTTTTAGCATTTTATATATGACACAATATATATATATATATATATATAACTTTCTGAAATGGTACTTATACCGGTCACTCCATTGACATCAGTGATGGCATTCTCGAAGAACGATAGAATTTCATCGTAGAATCGAGGTACTGCGTGCCAATGTGCCTGACCCAACGGTCCATTTAGCGTCCTACTGTGCACATAAGAATACTGTCCAATCATGGTGATTAACGTCTTTCGAAATGTAACTGGTACATTCAACTCCTGTAGTGTTGCGTTTAAAAAAAAGTTGAGAACAGATTGGTAATAGGATTGGAACGTTCTCTGAGACGACAAGATACAACATAGGATTGTTTTGGGGCAAATAAAGCAGCTGTCATTGCAGCTGCGGACCAATTTTGGACCACAGGGACGCTCGCAGAAGCACGTCTTTAGTAAGTAAGAACTCGGTGGTACAGTATAATTATGCGATTCACCGGCGAAAGACGATATGAGTTTTAATCGCAGAACTTCAAACAATCCAAAAACCACTAAGCTTCAAAATTTGTCAAATTTCATACATAGCTAACTAATATAAAGCTCAATTAATAACACTACAAAACCAGTTGATCGACCGCAAAATGGTAACAGGAAGTTATGAACAAAACGAAACAACGAAGAAAGCAAGCTTCGAAAAATATGCTGGTGAGCATGTGTAAGTCACGTTTTGGTTTTACCACCACCGATCTTCGCTTGAATACTTCCGCCACCGATTGCAAAGCCATCACCGCAATCCTTTAACGAGATAAAGGTACAGACACTGCTTTTTTGAATCACTGTTTATAAACATCAACAAAAAAGCCACCAACAGCTGATATTCAAAAGTTCGAAACAATAATTCATGTCTGCGGGTAAGATTCGCAAACCTGGTCATCCATGGTCGCGTCAACATTGTTTGATCCGATACGAAGAGAGTCGAACACGGAACCCAGGTCTACGATAGGCACTTTGTTCTCGCGCAGCATTTCTCTAAAAACAAGTACTACTTCTAGTTCAAAGTTTTCTCAGTCAAAAATTAAGTTAGTGATGAAAACGAAACATCAACTGTAGTACCGACATGACGTCAAAAACTGTAATCAACAATATTAATTTTAGTTAAATGATTCCCAATAATGTCGCAAACTAACAAGAATATCCACATAAGGAAAAAACGAAGAGTTAAAACGTGTAATGCACTTCGATAAAGAAAACTTTACACTACAGACCTAAGCTGCATGAGAATAACGCCGAGCACATTCCGACCCTGTGCAAAGTTTGGACAGTTAACAACAGATTCGGTGGTCAAGGGAAATGTAGCTGGGATCTAGAAAGCCATATTTTACTAACCTACGAAAAAACTGAAATATACAGCACAGAAATAACTAGAACACCATAAGGAAAAGAGGAGATAGACCCTCACTCTAATAGTGGTAGCACCGTTTGCCTTCATACTTTCACACCATTTCCTCACTTGTGCATGCCTACACCTAGAAAAAGCAACTAATACTTAATACAAGAATTGTAAAACTAATCCATTTAGTTTCAGAACCAATGAACTAAGCAAAAACAATAGCCCCTACCCTGCGCCATATATACTATCGCCGGGAAAAGCATGAACCAGGATTTTCCTACCACTTTCCGATAAAGCCTGACGAAGCATCACGGACTGTGAGACCTAGAAGGTACTTACTTCAAGGTTAATAAATAAACATTGCATTCAAGCACAGTTAGTCCCCACACACTTACATCTCGCAAACATTGGAGCGATTACCTTTGCAAGAAGCACCTTCTGCATAATTTCCAAGCCTTTGGAGTATCGCCATTCATCAACTTTTTTTTTATCCACCTGAAAAAGTGCTATGTTCCAATTCGTAAATAGTTACTGCCTCCCAAAACTTTATCTGGTACAAAAACGTCAAAGTTTCGATATTAATGGTGTTTATCGCCATGACTTCTCTGGTGTCTACGAGTTGAACGGTGATATACAGCGGAGGTTTCATCCCTTTATCAGCGTTTTGTTGAATGAGCTATCGCATGAGTATAAAAATTAAGAGTAAACAACCAATATGTGGCAACATAAACAACCGGCAAGAAAACGAGTTCATATTAATCAGCGATGGACGGTCTGCACAACATACATGAAGAATTCAATTTGAGTCGGAATCTAAATGCTATATGTTTGTAAAAGCTATCAAAGTTACAGTAAAGGAGACTGTATAGTCCTAGCAAGTCCACATGTTCTCGAAACTGCCTTCAGTTACAGAAAAATAAGCATATCACGAACACGCCAAAAAGAAATAGTGATAAGATCTATACGATTCCTTGATAAGACCTACTTCGTTATCAGGAGTTTCATTTGCAATACCTTAAATTACTGAGTAACCCGAGCACTCAATAGTCTCTGTTTGTTCTTTTCGTGTGCTCCGCTCGCCTAAGGTACTTGAAAGAACTCACATTTTTCGTATGACTTCTTCACTTCTGCCGTTTTTGACGGAAGCGTTGCAATGGAAGGCTATTTTGCCATCACACAAGCGTATTATAAGTTGGATTCTAGATGGTGACTTAAACCGCTTAACTTGAGTCGCTAAACTAGTAGTGGGACCTACCGCTGTACGTCGCAGTTCGACAACTAGGAAATTTTCATCATAACCTATGATAAGGAACGACACTGCATTGCATGATTCGCAGAAGTACATATATATATATATATATATATATATATATATATATATATGTTGTGCGAATATAAATATACGGAAATGTATATAGAAACGACAGATAAAGTTTTGGCGTTGATCCCTGAGGGATGCACCATACAATCGACTTCAATAGGCATCGCTAGAGGTAACTGAATGCATATCTGGCCTATATATAATGACTTACGGAGGTTTATAGATATACCAAGTCAGCGTTGCTACCTCTCTCACAAGTCGGGAAGCAATTTCCCACTCCGCAAGTATGGAAGGATTGGTCAGTACTGGGTGCTTGATTGAACCAATGACTATGTGTGCATTGCAGGGCACATCTAACCATTGCGTTACACAAGCCCCAAATATATACATATATATATATATATATACTGTATATGTGTATATACACATGTGTATGTATATATGTATACATATATACTTGGATGACCCGTCTTCACTGGTCTTGCGCAGCCCAGCAAAACTTTTAGTTTTTCGGAGATTTGGTAGTTAAGCCATTATGGTCTCCTGGAGTCCCGAAGTCAGCGTGGCCAAAGTCTGCCCCAGGTCGTCACTACAACAGGCAGTCACAGCCCTTGTGGATCAGAGGGAGATTTGCCATCATATGACTTTGATACCAGGACGGTGGTGGATCCTGGTATTGCTTTACTCTTAGCTGGGGTTCTTGATGGAAACGCCAGACTCCTTATCAGTTTGGAAAACCTTGTCAGGAGGATAAATCTCCCCACTGTACATCGCAGCTTAACACACAGGACACGTTGCAGCCATGATTTGGCGGTAAACCGTTGCGAGGTATATACATTGTATATATATATGTACATGTGTAAATATACATACATACATGTGTGTATACACATTCATACAAATCTACAAACTGCTTCTCAACGTTGACAGATTATAGTTATTACAATAGGAAAACCTACATTATTCAATCGAATTACTTCCTTTGCAGTTTGACTGAAACTTTTGACCCTACGTTCGTTGAAGCCAACTTTACCATCAAGTCGGCGACCTTGTTCATCCCTAACTGAAAAACTTGGTTAAATGAGAGTATTGAAGTCAACAATAGAAAATGAAGACCTGTTTCAGTCAGTCTATCACTGACGGTCCCACAGAGGTCGTGTACTTTTTGAATTTGGTAATAATGGTCTCCACTTTCATAAATTTTTCCTTCAATCAGCACTGGAAACTGAAAAACTGTTCCACTAAGATAAAGAACTAAATTTAAGCCACGAAACTAATAAATCGCTGTACTGACGGTGTGTTGTGTTGTGAAAATGCTAGAAAACCCGTGGAAACAGATGAAATTGTCAGGATCAATAGATAAAGTTATAGCCGGAGAGTCATCAGGAAGTGGTGCAAACTAAAGAAATAAGTTTACCGTGCTTAAAAAAGTTTTTCAACCTAGGATATTCGTAGGATCAAAACAGCTTAGTGACTAGGAAATTTCAGTAACAACCATACTTACTGGAATGTCCATAGGATTATTATTAGGCTTCGTAATATATCTACGACCATAACTTCGTCCACTACGACCTCCACGCATCACTGCATATCCACCTCGAGGCATCCCGGCTCCAAATGGTACGTAGCTCATGTTCGCTCTCACACCTTACATGAAACAGAACAGTATTATAAACCCGTTATAAAGAGCTACATTTGGTCAAAAAATCCGCAAACAGAGATTATAAATGAAAACGACAACGGTCATCGGTGTGAAAATAAGAAGAAAATGTCCCACTCAAGCTTGACGACGGCCGTCCTTTCTTTGTTTTGGCGTCACTACTACCTGGTTGGAGTCTACGCAGTTGCTTAGTACTATTTTTAGGCGAAATAATTTTAACCACAGATATATCGGGCTTCTCAGGAGAAGTGCAGATTCTTCCAGGCTTTTCTGGAGAACTGCGAATTCTGCCAGGCTTTTGATCGTCTATAATATAAGCCAATACTATTGATAAAAAGAAACAATTTGGAGTAAGCGAGTCAAACAATCATACAACAGAATGCTTAAGTTTAGAGGAAACCTACCAGTATGTGGTGTATCCTCAGCTTTACAAACTTGAGCAGTGTTAGATGAGGACTCCGGAACACTAAGACGACCCGAAGACTTTCTTTTACCAAGTGGAACTTTCTGTGGCTGCTGGCCTCTTATCTACAAAGTGTAATTCTAAAAGCAGTAGAAATTGAAGATAGTTTAATGGAAAGTTGCACAGAGCAAACCTTTCTTGCCCACGGCTTGGGTTTCGGATTATACTGACGATAACGGGGAAACAAGGTACGACTATTCTAAATGAGATTAAGAAAACATTGTAAACACCATCAAAACCCAATATCGAGGCGAGCGACAATCTTTTCTATATTATAAACTAGTTTGAACATTGCACCACCCTACCAATATTTCCACTGCTCCCTATAACTCTTTCACGAGCACAAGTGCCATTGCCTTCATCTCTCAAATGTAAGCAACCGAAAGCTCTCTAAAGATCTCGGCGTTGATAAATCCCTGAGGGATGCGCCATGCATTCCACTTCTTTAAGTATCGTTTGGAGGTGAATGAATACATATCTAGCCTTTTACAATGACTCGCGGTGGCCTACCAATGTATCGAGCCAGTGCTGCTATCCTCCCAAACAGGTCTGGTACCAATTCGCCGACCTCGAACGGATGGAAGGCTGGATGTGGCATGGGCGTGGAGATCGATCCTTTGTGTATTGCAAACGCCTCCGAGCACTGTGCCACAATTGCCCACCAAACAACGAAAAACTACATAAAATCATTAAGTCGGGTGTCGCACTTCTTATAATACACTGGCCATTTTTAGTCACTTATTTAATCTCGTGCTGTTTGTTCAGATCCAACCATTTCCTGTTTAGTTTTTAATAGCCATATATTTTTTTAAACTGTAAAATTCCCAAATATGACATCAAATGGTTCCAGATATTCAGCTGTTTTGGAGATTTTGCTCGTAAACATCTTGTTGATGTCAGCAGACATGCTTTAAAAACAGTGTAAAAGAACCTGATATGGTTGCGAAATATCTTGAGAAAACACGGATTTTGAATAACTTGGAAACGCAGGATTGTATTCGTCTGGTGATGGAACGTACTGCAAAAAAGGTTTTAAGGATAATTGAGAACCAATTAGAATATTAACTCTTAAAATCAGTAAAAATTGAACTTATTATTTGGCACCGTTGCCTATAAGTAATGCACAATTATGGAAAGACAATATACGGAACATTTTGTACAAGAATGTAAATAGAAAAAAGTGGATTTTTCGTATTACTTAAAAACATGTGTATTTTAGGACTTCAACGGAGAAGTTAAAGACCAAAGGTGCTCCATCTGGATTTTTAAGGCATCAGGATTTTTGTTCTCATTTACAACACGCGTCCTTCCAAATAACATGCACATTTTGACAGACCAAGAAAGAATGCGTTTTCATTCCAAAAGGTAGAAGAACGTTCGTTAAAATCCAAAATGAACTTCCGAAATCATCGTACTTGAAATAAGCAGACTATGTGAAGCCGAAGTCGAAGGAAAATCGATAGGATACAAAACACTTGACTGATACTGAAAAAGAGACCTCTAAGCTCAGCCACCGAGTACAGTTGACGTTTATCACCATAAGCAAGATTACCAATGGTTAATTGCAACGAAGGAGCAAAGAAACTGGAATGAGAGAGTGTCTCACTCAAACAGGAATAAATCTGCTGAGCCAGCTCTCACCAATGCATGAGCTTTCCAAAACTAGGGATGATATTCAGAGATCGCTACCTACTTTGCTATCGTGATGAGTCGTCTAAATCCTACAAATGAGAACCTAACCCCATAGAGAAAGAAGCGCGGTGAGACAATTATTTTAAGGAAACAACGCTCCAATAGAATCTATTACCTATATCATTGTCGCCTTGATAATCATCGAATGTCTTGATTGGGAGGCAGTAAATTTTTCCTATCAAGAGCAAGATTAGCCCATTAGGTATTGCTTGTCCTAGAGACTTTCAGGGCATCATATTTCGACTAGAATCTGCAAGAAGTGTTCCTCCCATCGGGTCGGTAGGCTTTCCGCTGTATGCTGGACATTCCGATGAGTCCAGTCGCTAACGATTCTTGGTCAACGGTTGTCGTTCATAGACATTACCACTACATGTCCAACCAATCTCCGACGATCTGGCGTAAAGAATGGCCTCGCTGAATTTGCATCATTGACGTGGCTCGGATCTTTTGATCCGTTTTCTCGACTAGGCGTTCTGTAACACTGAATGACGACTCAGAAGGAAATCCGCTTCTCAGAAAAATCGGTTTTGTGAGATTTAGTCGCAGACCAATCGTTTCACAGGCTCTATCAAAGCCGGCTAACAATCGTTCTGCTTAGTTTATTCTCGGTGTCATAAGAACGATATCATAAGCAAAGTAAAAACGGTGCAATTTCTGACCATCCGTTCCCACTCTCATGTTGTCTTATTCCGATGTTCGCATGACGATCTGGAATATGCCAGCAAATAGTTTTGACGAGACTCCATGCCTTGTCTAGTAACTGTTTCTATTCCGACTTTAATATCTTTATAGAACAGTAATATCTTGGCTCCAAAATTTTTATATAGCTCATGAAGAATATTTACATGCTGAATAAGGACGCTCTGGTCATAGCTGTTTCTACCTCCACTGATCCAAAAGCTTTCCTTAAATCTATGAAAGTCAGATCGAATGCTCTATTGTACACTTGCTAGATAGTAAGCATATCGGGCGATAGCTACCGATGTCGCAGAGATGATCCTTCTCGCACAATAAAACAGCCCTCGTCGTCTTCCATTGAATGGAAACCTTGTATTATGACAGGCAACGTGTGAAAAGCCGAGTCTGTGTGTTGGTGAGGACTGGCAGAAGGTTCCTCTAAAGGTTTTTACGGGTTATATCCTATCAAGAGCTGTTGTTGTTCGATTCTTCACCGACGAAATAGCGTGTGGTATTTCGGAAGCGAAAACCGATGGGACGACATAATCACGCTCCTTTATTTGATATCAAGAAAGGAGGACGTCGCTACTGAAGAGAATCGAGTAGTAATTGTGAACGATTTTCTCCATAGTCTTTCTGAAAACTGCAACTTTTTCCTCTGTGCATCGGAGTGCAAGCATCTTGGTCTTGTAATTGGCGAGGCTTCAGTGAGCTTTGCGAATGCTTTTTCCAGCCTCTGCAACATCGATCATAACGGCTATTCCTTTTTTAAGATTTTCTACCAGTTTCCTTCACGGCTTTGAAAGTTCGAATGCAAGTTTGCGACTACTTACGGGTCATGCGACTCCATATTAGCACACTACTTGCAGCTTAGTGAGCGCTGACTAGTGATCTAAATCAATACTAATTCATGGTAGTTTTGGGAGTTGCTTTTTTTTTGGAATTTCAGCTCTTTCTCCTTTCCACGTAAAACGGAATCTTGAGCGAAAAAGAGTGATTTGCTGTCGTGTAAAATATTGAAAAAAAGCATCATCGATTAGACAAAAACTTCTACTTAATACTGTGTGGTCCATTACGTTGCGGTGCTTCCCAATGGGACAAGAAGTTGAGAAAGGACTCCCTCTTCCAGCGTTGAAAGTGGGGCTTCGGGAACTGTCGGTTACTACGAATGGTCTTGGTCGTCATGACAAACTCAGACAGCCACTCACCCTTTTCGTTTCATTCTAATCCGTGGTTCACAATGTGACATTCTTCAGAAGTTCCCTTTGGTCCAATTTTAGTAATGAAAACGGTAATGTTGACCTTAGAGAAGGTACAGCCATCTCAGAGAATGTCTCCAAATCCATATGGATCAACCTCGCCTGCATAACTCCGCAGATTTGTAAAATTCTATATGAATGATTAAATACCTATAAAACGAAAAAAGTTGAAAATTACTACAAATGACAAAAACCTTAGAAAAAATTAAAACATTTTACAAGATGTCCATTGCTAACAAGCCTATTCTTTCCGTTTTACCAACATTCTGATGACTCACAATGTTGACTTCTTATTTACTGCTTTTTACAAGTTTTTACGGCAGGGTAATATTTGTGAAACAACCACAATGATGCTGAGATATCGACTGATGATGGCAGTGATCGATCGAACTAATTGGGAGACAGAGGAAACGAAGGACCCGCATGGCGTGATGGTGAACGCGCTACTCCCCAGAAAGGACAGTAGCGCGTTCGTTCCCCACCGCAGACACCTGCGGTCCGGAGTTTTGCAAACATTCTGACGATTATTCTAGCTATTCCTGATCGGTATGTTGCGAAAATATATAACACTTTTGCTTCAGCATTCAATAATTGCTAGGTCACTATACGACATTTCATAATAGTACAAGAGGTGTTGACAACATATCCAGAATACATATTGAATAATCGTGGCACATACTGATGAATCATATATACTCAGAGAAAGACTTCATCGGTCCTCCTAACGGTTTATCACCTCATCGTGGCTGACAGTTGTTGCAAAACTTCGAAAAATGGAAATACGCTGCGGTTCGCACAACTAGTGAGGGCGAACCGTCCAAGTATCCAAGTACCCAAGTAAACACTTTTCTTCTATTAAAACAACGCTGACGTAATAGATCTAGCCTTAGTTTCTAACATAAAAAAAGTTTGATTAACCGCAGAGATTTTTCACTCCGTAGAACCGACTGGAGTTAACCAACTGCTCAGCTTTGAAACGGTTTAAATGGTACCTGTTGATGCTGATAGTGATTGGATGTAGCTTGAGAATGAGAACTGCTGATCGATGGAAACTCTGGATTATAGCCAAATGTTCCGGTGTCGTAGCTCTTTCCGTACACAGTGGGATACGTGTTACTAAAAGAAAGTTTTTTTCGTTAACTTTCAGTAGTCTTCCAGGACGAGAACTCCACGTTACGTTCATATAACTGGCAGGCTCACTAGCACGGGAAGTTAACTAACAAATACATAACTCTGAGACAAAAAGACGCCAGAACACTAGAAAACAGTACACATGCTGACCTCAGAGAATTGCTAGTGGTTTTCCAACTAACAAATCCGCCTCGAAAATAAGAACTCATGACGCGGCACCTATGCTCGGACGAGTTTCGCCAAAATACACTGTAACAAAAAATCATTTTTCGACGAAACATTAACGATTACATGCTCAGGGAAACTCTCCAAGAGAGCTGCCGCAAACGAAAAGAAACCCAGGATCGGAAATTCTAGATCCGTTGGAGAGCAGTTTGAACTGGAGGGGACGATCCGGTCTGGAGTCGACGCGGCGATGCGGTAGAGCATAGGTTATCAGCCGAGCGAGGAAACCCCTATGCAGCAACTGGTCGTTTTGTATTCGTATGCTTCTTCGTGACCATTTCAGTTCTTGGGTTCTTAAACCAGCACGAGGTTGGTAACGACCTTTATTCGACTAACGTTTCGACGTCTTCGTCTTCATCAGAGAGCCAGCCGATGATGATCCGAGTCGAAGATCCACAGACGATCAAGAGAGATAAGCAGAATAAACTCCATTCTTTTCCTAGATCTTTTGCATCGCTCAAATGAGGCATTCCCATCTGGCAGCGCTCTTTTATCTAGGATGTACTGGGTAGTGGGATGAGATACAATGCGCTTAGGCTAAGGAGTATTCTTTGTGACATGATTTGATATTAGATAAGGAGAGTAAGGACACGACTTGCATTCAATGCATGGACTCGATCCCTCAGGAAGTTTTCTTTAATCGCTAGGGACAATTTTCATTCTTCATTCATTCCGAACCTGTAGTGAAAAAACGATCAGATGGCTTATGTTGATGTTTACAAGTATAGGCATTGTTCATTCTTTTCTTGTCTTCATTTCTCATTGTCATAAATATCCTAGTCGTTATTTTTCCTGTGTTTTTGCAGATTATTGGTCAATTACTACTAGGTAGCACCTTTGTTGCTTAACGTCTGCGAAGATGATGAACGCAGAGTTGTTAGAGAGGAACTTCGGCGTGCAGTTCCCGGAAGAATTGGACGGAACGCTTGACTTACAGGTACTGTTAATGATTCCTTTATCATTAAGTACCATTTTCAGTACCTTCTTGGATGGTTAAGCTAACACGTGGCTGATAAAAGCCTTTATTCGGCTAAGGTTTCGACATCTTCATGTTCATTAGAGCCGACGATCCGATTCGATGGTCCACAAAGAAGACGAAGAACTATGGACCATTAACTGTGATCATCGGCTCTGATGAAGACAAAGACGTTGAAACGTTAGCCGAGTAAATATCTTTATCAACCTTACGTTAGCTTAACAATCCAAGGAACTATTGATCATGACGACCGAGGTTAAGCAAAGGTCGGTTTTGAGAAATGTCAGTCTTTTTTTTGTTGAACTTTCGGACTTGGGTCGGAGATCTATACACTGTCTTAGTATTTCTATTCAGAATGGAGCCGCTAACTGTTGTAAATTCAATCGATGGGGTACGTTGGTGGCAGTGGGAAGTACTGATGGACGAATTTTCATTTTTGACTTCGTTACTAAAGGGATAGTGAAGGTGATTCTTTCCGTTTACGAGAGTCTCAGAGAGGAAGGGTTTCACATTTAGACGTGGACGGCTCATGCGCTACCAGTGTCGTCTCTGTCATGGTCTCGTGATGGTCGAAAATTGCTTACCGCTTCGGCTGACACCACCGTGGCAATATGGAACGTCATCGAAGCTTCCTGTATGCACAGGTTGAAGTATTCGGCTATGGTGACCTCTGCCGTCTTCAATCCACGGTCAGTACTTTTTCAGTGCTTTATACTTTTCGTAATTCTCACAACCGACTTTCTGTTAACCTCGGAATTGATCATATAGTTCTCGGAACAAACACGAGGTGTTACTTTATTTTTTATTTCTTCAAAGCCGACGTTTCGGCGCCTTCTTCAGAGCCTGGAAGGGTATGTAAAAAGGATTAAGCTCTCTGCGCTGATCAATCCCTTAGGGATGCGCCATGAATTCGACTTCGTTAAGTATCGTATGAAGGTGATTGAATGATAATGGCATGATACCTTTTACAATGACTCTCGGTGGCCTACCGATGTATCGGGCCAGTGCTGCTAACGTTCCAGACAAATCGTGTTGAAGAGAGCTTCTGACCACTGCTCCACACGCTCCTATATATGGAGGTAAAGAGAGTAAATATGCCCTTCCAGGCTCTGAAGATGGTGAAATTCACCGAAATATCAGCTTTAGCGGAATAAAGAATAAGGTATCACCTTTGCTCAACAAGAATATCGAGAACTATTTGTGCTTTTCGTCCAGAATTTATACACCGGGTGTTATGTTGAACGGTATGATCTATCTGATGTTTGAATTTCTGTTTTCTACACAGAAACGACAATCAAGTACTGGTTCTTCAACTTAACTATCCGCCTTGTTTGGATGAACTTAACCCTCGATCGCAAAGGATTATCACTAACGATATTCCGGGCGCTATAGAAGACGGGGTTTCAGCGATAGCGTTTGATCGTAGAGCGAACTATTTAATCACTGGGACAAACAAGGTAGGATTTACAGTCTTCAAAATACATTCATTCAGTCATCGCAACTATGACGACTTTCAACTGTTAGGCAACAAATTAATTTATTTTGTCTTTTTTATCTTTCTTTCCTTTTTAAATTCTTTGTTTCTGTATGACAAGCATCTTTTCTGATTCAGGGAAAGCTGGTCGTTTACGATGCGAAGACTCTCAAGATGGTTTCTTGGGGAAGACAAAACAGTGTTCAGCAGGTCATTATTTTTTTTGCTCTATTCTGGTCCGCGGATCATTTTTGTATATCTTTTCATATTTAATGTATGTCTTTTCGTATAGCCCATGTAGCGCAGTGGTCGGAGGTGCACTGCAATACACATGGAATCGATGCACGCGCCCAAGGCTCACCAAGCCTTCCATCCCTCCGGGGTGGTCAGATTGCTACCACACCGGTCAGGAAGGATGGCAGCACTGTCTGGATTCATCGGCAGGCAACTACTAGTCATTGCAAAGGCCACATATGCATTCATTTACCTCTAACGATGCTTAATAATGTCGAGTGCACGGAGCATTACTCCAGGACTGAATAATGCCGAGAGCTATATCCCGTGTCCTTTCATCTTTTCATCTTCTAGTTTTTTAAAAGTTGCTTTTTTCAAATGCTCCTAATTGTAAGGCGAATAGAATAGTGTAATGACGGAAAGTTTCACAGTGTCTCTTGCAGATTAAACAGATAGTGATTCCAAGGAGAGGGAACTTCATCATCACAAATTCCCAGGACCGCATAATACGTACATTTGATCTTAACGACATTTTGGATTGTCAAAAAGGAGCCACGATAGAACCAACACACCGTGTTACAGATATTGTTAACAAGGTATCACTTGTGTTATCATCTTTATCATCAGTGTTCGCATGTGTAGCGTAATATTGGTAACTTGGTAATTTAGATGGCCCGTCTTCACTGGTTGTGTAGGCCCCAGCATAATCTCCACTTTTTCGGAGTTTTGCTGGCTTAGTCATTGTGGTTCCCTGGAATACCGACGTCAGCCAGGCCAAAGTCTGCCTCAGGTCGTCACCACCACAGGCACTCGCCGCTCTTGTAGATCAGAAGGAGACTTGCTACCATGGGACTAGTTTCAGACAAGGACGGTGGTGGATTTTAGTATTGGTTTACTCTTAGCTGGGCTTCCTGATGGAAAGGCCAGACTCCTTCTTAGCTTGGGAGACCTTGCCAGTGGGATGAATCCCTCGCTGTACATCGCCGCCCGACATCCAGGAACACCTCCCAGTCACGATGAGGCGGTGAACCATTGGGAGATAAGGCAATATTAGAGGTGGAAATCCTAACCTTCGTTCCTACTGTGTCCGAAAATTGGCACCAGACTTGTTTGAGAGGATAAAAACACCGACTTGTTGCATTGGCAGCCCCCACAAAACATTCGGTATGCCAAGTATGCGCACCTACTTCTCTAGGATGCTATTTGCATAGTGGTATAAACAACCCCGAACTTCCTAATTTTTAGGCTTCATGGAAGGCTGTATGTACTGATAGCGAAGGTTATTACATCTGTGGTGCAAGTACAAAAGCACATTCTCTGTACGTCTGGGAGCGGACGACGGGAACACTGATCAAGATTTTGCATGGGACAAAGGTATGGCTGTAGTTGATTGTTTAAGACGTATGGAAGGGTTTTGTTAGCGATGTACATTATACTCATAAAGACGCCGTATTTTTGTGCAGTTGTAACTCCTTAATCCGATGAAGGTTGTTTTCGTGTCATCGTTTCCTTACCACTGCAGTCAACTGTGGATCCACTTGTCAAGCTTTCAGAGGTTTCTTATCGCTTTCTGTCTTTCAGAAACTTCGAATTCAAATGTTGGATCTAAAACTATGATCTTAAGCTGTATTTGAGGCAAATTACAAGAGATTATTTTCGACTATTTCACCATTGGTGAAGGACCCACATGGTGTGGTGGTGAACGCGTTAGCACCCGGAACTGGTAATAACGTATTGGATCCCCAACGCAGACACCTGAGCTCCGGAGTTCTGAAGAAATCTCAGCTTCATTTTGGTTGTATTTCACATAGTGCCGTGCCTTGAAAAATTGTGATAGGAAGTAAATAGAAAATTAACATTGTGATTTCAACTGCAGCCTCAGCTTAACTGGGTCCAGTGCCAATTTCTGCTCCCTAGATGAATCCTTTTGACGGGTGATTACTGGAAACTCCTGTAGTTCAGTAACACGGCTGAGAGAAAGGCGAAACGTAGAACTCACATGGTGTGGTGGTAGATGCCTTAGCCCCCGTAAAGGATAAAAGCGTTTTCGATCCCCACCGTGACCTTTGCGGTTCGAAGTTTTGTATCTCAGTTTCATTATAATTGTATTTTCCCATAATATTCCTGGTGATACGATGCATCAGTGCCACTCCAGAAACGGAATGATGACTCATTTTTATCACTAGTCGGGTTCGATCCTTTGACTTTGTTGTCTGCTCACAAATCTACGAAAGTTGAACAGCTTATGCTGTTTGAAGTACGGGATGGTAATTCTGTATTCCATTTAGTTTGCACTTAAGGGAGTCTCAACATTTTAAGGGGAATGGTTTTCGCAGAATTTAATAGTTCACTAGGGGTGATTTCTATTATGACAACGCATGATAATTGTGGCAGTTTATAGGGAGAGTGCTTAATGGATGTGCAGTGGCATCCGATACGCCCAGTTATCCTTTCCGTTGCCAATGGAATAGTTTCAGTATGGACGCAGGTGCAGGCAGTTCTTCAAATTATCATTCTTTTTAGAGTATTTAGATTACTGGCCTTCGGATGAAGTAATAACTGCTCGTTTTGCTCTTCTTTTGGTGTCATTTTCACATAGGTTAACAAAGCTTTAGGCACACGTCGAAAACTGGTCAGCATTTGCACCCGAGTTTACTGAACTAGAAGAAAACGCTAAATATGAGGAGAAAGAAGGAGAATTTGACTTAGACGACGAGGATGCAGATGTGGACGATAAAGGACATTCCCAGGTCTGTCCGCGCTTTAAGGAATTTACCTTCGGGGATTTTAAACCTTGGGAAATCGATTGCCTTATCGCTAGTTAAGTGTTTATAAATGGTTTTCCACATTTTCCTCTCCTCATTCCTAGTGTGGACTACGTGTTTATAGGATTCAGATGAAGAAATAATCGACATCGAGTCTTTGAAACCCAGCGAAATCTTATGCAGCTCTGATGAGGTAATTTTTCACGTTCTTAATGGGTAATCTTATGGATGAGGGGTGTTGAAAATAGGGTGCAGTCTAGTTTAGCGCGTTTTAGTCATCAGTAAAAGGATAAAGTTCTCGACATTGATCAATCCCTGAGGGATGTGCCATGAATTCGACTTCATTAAGTATCGTTAGAGGTGACTGAATGCCGATGTATCGATTCAGTGCTGCTGTCTTCCCAAACAGGTCTAGTACCAATTTGCCGACCCCGGACGGATGGAAGGCTTGGTGAGCCTAGATTGTGGGGATCGATTCCATATGTATTGCAGGGCGCCTTCGACCACTGGGCTACACGCGCCTCAGTTATCAGTATAAGGAAATTTGTAACGATTGTAGCAATTAAGTCATACAATTGCTATCGTTTGTATCTCTTTGCTTCTAATTTTTCAGGAAGACAATATCAATAGCCTGCTGCCTGATGTGACTTTGAAGACTGGTCCACTTTGGTTTTTGCCCATTACACCAGAGTGTGACAACACTGATACCCTACCATTACCAGGAGGACATTTTACGGGTATCTCTTTGGAGTAGTTGATTTTTCGTGTGCAGATGTTAATTTTACGAATCGAGTAGGTCTACCTCAAATTGGTCGTTTACTCTTCAGATGGACGTCGAGTGTCAAGTCAGATTTTGAGCGCATTGGAAGAGGAAAGTAGAAAAAGGGCTCTGTTTGAAGGTGGTCCGAAAGCTCCATTGAAAGGACGTAGGATTAAATGATGTATGGCACCTGCCATATATGTAGGATGCGGTTATTTATTGAAAAGTTCAACATAAGCTATTTGAAAGGATACTACAGGGGTAAGCTCACTCTAGCAAAAATATTCTTCCTTCCTTTTTTAAAATTTTTTCTTATTGTTCGTATTTGTCGAAATTGCAGGATTTGTACATAATCATTCTGATTTATCTTCTCTTTTGTATCCTTAGTAATCTAATGCGAAGTATACTGTATCTCAATTATTTGTACAAAGTATTAAGAACCATGCTCTAGTGAAGTATGCCTTCAACGAGAAAGGCGTAGTATGTTGGTCCATAGGTGAACTATGACATTTGCTTAGACATTATTTGCTGAAATAAAATCATTTTGTAATGAGTCTACCTCCACTGAAAACTTGGACTAGCAAAATTTTAGGTTAAGCTATTCTAATGTTTGGTAAACAGTATATTTTGGAGCAATAAGAAGTAATGGATCAGGCTGTAAGTAAACCATTGTTGTTCGAGAGAACCCAAAGGTGGTATGTGTTTCGTATTTTAATTCTTAGGTGCTTAATTGCCTGTTCCCGAATCCCCGTGATAAAGAGTGAGGAATTACTTGACACCTGCAGGCAATCATGGACTAACTCGAGAACGCGAGTAGGCGCATTGACTTAGGCATACAAGATGGGGAGCGTTATGGGCCATGCATTGGCTAAATTTCTGGGAACAGTACGCATTTCCTGCTCTTATTACAAATTCTTCTGCCGAGTTTGCCAACGTTTAACTCTAGCACATTTCTAGAATGAAGCACTTTTAAAGGAACCTTATGTGGAGGTGTTTGTACGACGTAGCAAGAGTAAACTTAGGTATAGTGCGCACTTATCAGTGGTTAGAGTATAAGAAATGCGAATTCCTGAACTCATACCCTGGTTACATTTTGGCTGGTGCTTTAAAGGTTTTACTCAAGAACATTTAGCTGGCAATCTATAACTTCTATAATTAGTTCCTTTACCGTAGCATGTACAACACGACTAAGACGCGTGTAGCGCAGTGGTCGGAGAGGCCCTGCACTACACAGCTCGATCCCAGCGCCCTAGGCTCACCAAGCTTTCCATCTCTGCGGGTGGGCAAATTGCTACCAGATTTATTTGGTAGGATAGGAGCACTGGCTCGATACATCGGTAGGACACCGATAGTTATTGTAAAGCCCAGATATGCATTCAATCACTTCCACCGATGATTAATGAAGCTGAACATATGGTTCACTTTCAGCGATTGATCAACGTCGAGAGCTTTATCTTTTACGTTTTTGCCGCATTATGCAAATAACTGCCTCATATTGCATAATAATTGCACTTATACTAAGGAATATTCCCTACGTAAGATTTATGTTTATCTATAATGATATGCAACATATACTTCTGGCCTAAAGGATAAAAAGGACAAGGCTTTCGGCGTTGTTCAATCCCTTAGGGATGTGCCGTACATTCAACTTCATTAAGCATCGTTTAGAGGTGATTGAATGCACACCTGGCCTTTACTTGAGGTGGCCTGCCAATGTACTGAGGCAGGGATGCTGTACTTACAGACAAGTCCGGTACCAAATTGCCGACTCCGGAGGGATGGAAAGCTTGGTGGGTCAGGGGCGCGGGAATCGATCCTATGTATATTGCAGGGCGCTTCCGACCACTGCGCCATACGCGCGCATTACAGTTCTGGCATAGAGTTTACAATCGTTACCAACAATCCTTATGTCAAATTTATATCATTACCTACAGTCATGTACAGTGTACGCTTTCTATAACACCAACACATATCTCCGTTTCTTTGGTATTGGTTGGTTCTCTTCTTCCAGAACACGGTTAGTGGATAGCATAGTTCTGTTTTTAGCTGTTTTTAGCGGATAGCTTAGTTTTTTCACTATTCTCTTCTAGGTAGCTTAGGCATACTTCCCATTTGAAATCGGCTCAGCCCAATTTTCTGCGCGCAGTAGCAGTATAGCAGTAGATTCTTCATGTTTTCACCAAGCATTCGCATAAGGAAGCTGAAGAACAACCTCATACGCCTAAACTATGAGAATAAGTTTCCCAAAGCGATGGTGGACGGAAAAGTGCGCGCCATTTATTTCTGTGCTAAGATATGGAGAATGGGCGCAGATCTAATCGATAGTGTGGACAAATAGCTTCCATTTTCCCACGTTTCTTCTGCACATGTCAGTCAAGTGCGTATTCCTCAAGCAAGCAGAATACTTTTTTCAATATCAGACCGAGTGCCGTCAAAGAGTATGTTCCGGCAAGCCAAAACTAAGCTTGGCTTGCCTCGTCACTGTCAGCAGTCTCTTTATTGTCATCGTTCATGAGGAGTTAATCGAACAGAATTCGGAACTCCTCATTCACTGACCTGATTCTACTAATGCTTCAATTTTTGAACAATTCCTAATCACACATATGGTGACACTGTGCGGAAGACTGCCATGGAACAGGAAAAGAATACGGTAGTGGCAAACTCAAGTGAAGAAAGGTGGATGCTTTAGAAAAGGAAGAATAACAAGAAAACGAATGATTTATGTATGACCGTTGGTTGCGGGACAGATTTTAACAGAAAGACAAAAAGAGTGAACGTTTGTAAACAGTGTATACTGTCTAATCGAGCAGACAGTATCTTGTGATCGACGTCTTCATTTGGACTTGTTCCCCTTCATTAGCTTTCTACTGCTGACCATCGTCATAATCCGTTCTACGACAATGTGGTCGAAGCATACAGTGTTCTATCTGACCATTATCTTTCTAACCACAGATAATTCATTTATTTGCTATCATTGTTATGGACCATACTAGCAGTGTAGAACTGGAGGCTATAAAAAACATGAAAAAGACACTGAAGCATAGTTCTCATATCGTAGAATAACATGCGGAGAGAAGATAGAACTGCGTTTGCTTGGTGAACGAGTTTCCCTCCCCATTTTTTTTCTTGCAAAGAGTTCGATATGTTTGCAGAACAGGAGACATACACGGAAGAACATGGGAGAAATGTAAACACGAAAAAACGCGGGAAATATGTGAAGGAGTCGAGTTATTGGTCGAAAAACACAAGGGAGGGCGGTGTCTTTTGGGAGCGCATAGTGGACAATACAGAGTGGTCCCAATCTGTACAGCAAGCAGATGTTAAGGATGAGCTTCTCGACGCATTTTAGGGGAGAGGGGTAATCCTAGAGACAATCGTCATCTTCGAGCAGTGGCCGAGCCCACAACCGAAACGCTCGACGACCTTCGTGGATGGGGTGTGCGAGGAAAAGAATCGAATACAAGAAGTACTGGAATCAACATAGTGTGTTATGTGTGATATCACGTCATGTAATTAGTGAATAAGCAATTCCTGATGGGGAATGAATTCCGCCGGGTGTCTCCTTCCGACACGGGGAAACAACGCTACCATGGAACGACAAGCATTGAGGGGAAAAGAGCATAAAGAAGCTAATTTGTGACCGCTATATTTGTTCTTAATAACCACTTTGTTAATCCGCCGTCTTGAGCAGGTTGGCTTCATCTGTTATCTAGAAGAATGCAAAAGTGCCCATAAAATAGCGATACTGCGATATAAGACTGAAAAGAAGATGTTTATGACCGGCGATCATTAGTGGCCTAACTTTTACTTACTGCTTATTCCTTTTTCTGGCTGATAGAAAGGCAAAGTAACTACGTCGAATGGTGCCGTGGAAAGCAAGTGACCCCCGGCGAGGTAATCACGGGGCCGAAGCCCAGCTGAGGTTTCGAGTTTCCTTACGTCTCGGCATCTTTGTGGTTGCAGCTGTCATTAATTTGTAAGCAGTCTATCGTGTTATTCTTAGCAAAACTGGTAAATGGTTTTGATAAATAGCAGCCCTTAGGTGGTAAACCAGATGCCTAAGAGGTTGTTACGTAACTGATTACATTTACATCTTCGCTTAGCTTTTATCAAGTGTCAGGTAAGTTTAGCATTATCAACAATAGAAAATTATACCGGGACTCTTCTTTAAGGACCTTTCGGGATCTCCATGGCATTTCAATTGCGGAAGGAGATTATTGTTGTTTTTGCGGGAATAAGCTTTCAAACGACGCTAATGAAGATATCTCACAAGGTCGTTTACGATGAAGTGAATGGCTTTCATCAAACAACCTAACTGTGTAATGTCCCTGATTGAGAATCGAGCGCGTACAACAATTTGGAACATATTACTGCAAAGCCTTTGACACAAAGGTTCCAGTAATTCACTGTCTGATGTGTAGATGAGGACTTGTTACTCCACTATTTATTCCCTATAACGTTTCAATGGTTTCGTCTTCTTCAGATGCTGGAAAGATTAAATTGGCACGCAATCTGCACAGTCAAACGCTTTCAAAATCCAAGCGGGAAAAAGATGCAATACATAAATTTTAGTCACCGGGGAATATCTTCTTTTAAGCACTCACCGTTTTCTTGTTCGAAAATCTTCCAATTTTACGTTTTTAATTTTGATTTGCTTTATGGAGACTGGTCGCTGGCAGTCATGGATTAGAGATGTGCTTGGCTGAGGTTAAAGAATCGGCCTAAAGTATAGGGCAAATTCAAGCCTGATCATAAGGCACTTCTTGTGGTTCAATTTTCGATTTTTGGAAATAATCCGAAGCATCGATCAACGAAAGAACTACCTAGAGGTAGGCGAAAGGAAGGACCCACATGGTGCGGTGGTGAACGCGTTAGCTCCCGGAAAGGGTGGAAGCGCGTTCGTACCTCACCGCAGACACCTGCGGTCCGGAGTTTTGAAAATATCTCAGCATGTCTTTTGTTTTAAAATCTTCTCCGTTATGCCTTCGTGTCCTAGACGTGACAAGTGGAGTGTGCTGTCTGGCTCTGAGTTTCCTAACCAGGTTCTCTTTTACACGAACGCAAAATGGTCTACCCATTTCGCTAACGGATTCGTCACCATATGCTTTACAAGAGATGTGGTACACCATACCCGAACTTATGCAGTCGCGGTCTCTACCGTTAGGGCACATTATGCAATTCTACGTTGTGCATAGACGGTCATACAAGCGATTACGAATTTTGGTGTCTCAGAGTGTTCACTGGTATTTCATTCACTACTACTGATTTCAGTACACGGCTCTTTTTATGCATAACTGCGCTTGTTCCATTGGAAATGAAGGGCTTGGTAAATATGACCTTATTCGTGCTAGATTTGTCGTTTTAGGGCGTTTTTGGATGGATTTTCTCTCATAGACGATCATACCAGTCAAACTAGGGTCGTTAACGTGCTAGAAAAGTCAAAGGTCATCACACAAGGCGTGTTTGGGGAATTTGAGGGAATCTTTTGCGAGCCTTGTTTTTTGCTACAGTAAAACAGGCATTCTTGCTTATAAAGTACATTAGAATGTACCGATAGGTCCTAGCTCATTGTTTCAATAGAATGAAGGCATTCTTCACGTTACCTACCGTTTGAAAATGAAAAAGGTACGGATTTCGTGGAGTATATCAAATTTCCAATTGATCTTTGAGTCCGACGCGTTTTCACCAGTGAGCTTTCGTTTCTGCAAACCCATTTCACTAGTCGAAACTTGTTCTCCATAAACTAGTTAATAAAAAGTGGATAATCCTGGTAATTCCATAAAACTATTCTCTCATCTTTTGCAGCTTTATAGTTCTTTACGAAACGTCGTATGGAATCCAATATTTTAGAGCATGCCATGCTATTCCGTTTGGTGGATTTCGTACTGGGAACGACTAGGGATGTAAGAGAATCGATTTTAGTAATTCTATCGTGCGTGTCCGAGGAAGCTAAATCGTTAGAACGAGTATTATTATAATGGTTTTTTTCCAATCATCTTCCCCAGTCGTTGAGTAATTAAGCTGTAACTTACCGTAATCCTCTTTTATCAGCTTGTGTAATTGGAGCTAGAGGAGCTCTGACTGAAGTCTTCTAGAAAAAAACAGCTCCGAATCATAAAATTATTTAGTAAACAAAAACACTGCAGTGCTTATCATGTTTTATAAAGCATAAAGGTTAAAGACGTTAAAGCGTCCTTCACTGACTAACCACCGAGATTATGCTTCATACATTCATCTCGTTGCTAGTATCGAAGAGGTGATTGAATTCAGTGGCTTTCGGGAGCCTTCCGATTTATAAATGAAATATTTTTATCCTCCCTGACAAGTCTAGCAGCAACTTGACGACGCCGGAAAAATGAAATTCCTGTTAAGTTCTGGGCACGGGCTCGAATCAACAGTCATGTTTGTGCTACATAGCACTCTTCACCACTGTGCTACGTGCGCCTTCAGTACTTTCATAAAAATGGACTCTAAAATTACAAGAAGAGATATGTTAATTAGTTTGCGTCACCTATTGCGTTTAGGTAGAACGTAGTGAAAAGGATGATAATTGGATGTATAATTGCGAATGGCTCGATCGTTTTGAAATATTTCCATAGAAACGCACTAAAGCATTGACTAATCTCGGATATGTACACAACTGACCTTTTATACTTTTTTTTTCTTCCTGTCTATTCCGGCAACTAAGCATCACAACCACGCCAGTACTTATGCTATAATAGCATTGAAGTCTGTCGTAAGAAAAATCATGTGGTTTCAACCAATTAATCAAATCGACCAATACTTTCCAGAGCTTGGATTCATTTCCATGCTTCGCTCCTATTCCACTTCAGTACTTTCCAGAAAGTTCTCAATGAGCTTCAATGAAGTACCTTTTTTAAATATTCTTGATGTAATGCATATGAAAGTACTCCATTGTTACAAATTGGAATCCCTTTAAGAACGATTTTGCTTTAGTTTGTTCGCATTTTGTATCTGAACTTTATTTGCAGAGTAAAAGAGAACTCTGTGTGAATGTGTCCCCGTAAATTAAAGCATTTCTAAGTTCGATATTTCTTAAACTCACTTTTTTCAAGTTTATTAATACGAATAACACATTATTCTATCAGTTCCGCTGCTCTGCCTCTTTGAGGATGTTGCTAGGAGAAGAACATACATTCACACATGATGAGAATTACTTCAAGTTCCATTCCATACGCAAGAGCAAAGCAATTTGATGGGGTCACCGTTATACTAAAAGTAATCCAGTCACGGAAAACGAAAGCCCTCCCTACGATCCACCAAGGCTGGCCAGTAGATGTGGTGATGATTAAAGAAACGCTTTGTATGCGTTTCTCAGAATTTCAAGGAGCAAATCTTTACCTAGATGGCAAAATTCTACTCGATTGGAAGTCACGCTCTAACCTGGATGTCATATGATCAACGTACATTATCATTTTATCATTTTTAAAGAAAAAAATATTACTTTTTAAATGGTAGCGAGTTTGCTTTGTCATTTTTAAAAGGATGTCAAAGCGATGTAATAAGCGTCATAGGGAGAGGGTCATTGTCCATTACTTTTTAGGTGATTAGCCATGAGATTCAGCAACTAAAAACGATGTTACAGTATCCGAACTGCGTTTTTTCTTGTGAATCTTTTCTTGCGGATAAGCATATGAAAACTGGCTTGAAGCTTACTATAATCTTACGGTGAAAACAAAAATATGCTATGACTGATAGTTCGACGTTGTGGAGAGGCCATGTGTTTCATTTGCAATACCGTTAATCAGCTCAGGATTCGACTTGTCACCAACAAGCACTCTTCATTGAGCTCACTGTAGAACATGAAGTGGTAACATTTTTAGAACCAGGGTACTTATTTTTACTTAATTTGATGAGAAGGTGGTCGTACATAGCCTACTATGCTTGCCGTTCGGAATGGGTTGTTGGATTCTTTGACTTAGGCACGCTCCTAGTTATGAATCCCTTGTACTACATCGTCGTCCTCCATGAGGATCAGTGCTTATAGCGATGAGGTAATAAACGGTGATAGGGTAGCTACATGAAACAATGTAATAACGTAGATTCTGGAGATAGCTGTGTTAATATCTGAATGGTCGATGTATGTATAAGAAAGCGAGAGGGGATATTTGTTTTATGAGTACCAGTAAACGTAATCGCTAAGGAGTTTGCTAAAGGCCTAAGTGAGAACGTAAAACAAAAAGAAGGCGTGCTGCATTAGATGTTATCAGATTCTGGGGAAGATGTATGAAATAATTGATAACGATGCTATTTAAACGCTACTGGTTGTAAGCAAGAAATCGCAAATTTACTAGGCTTATCAAAAGCATCTTAATTAATTTTACTAGGGATATATTTCAAGCTTATTAAACTGTTAAGATAACTAGAATTTACCGCTGTTGTGAACGAATATTTGAAAGGACGACTTCGTAACCAGCTTGTGACGGACAGCAGGGAAATTGTGCCTTACTTGCCGATGTTGTGCAATTCTTCCTTCTTCTACCACGACTTAGTCCATACAGGCCTCCGAAGAGACTAAGACTAACTTAGCTGTCGAAGAGATCAGTTTAGATGTTGTTAGTGACTTTCTCTCTTCTAGACGCAATAACTACTTTCTGTGGATGTCAGGAAGTACCGATTCTGGTTTTGTAGTTGGTGAGAGTTTGTTACGTGTTACGAATGCTCTCCACATTTCTTTCATTAGTTGACAATGCTAAGCCTCTTCTCCAAAATTCTCTTCGCACCACTTTTAACTTTATGTTTGTCACAGGATTTCAACAAGGTCTTAGTTTTATGCTGTTATGCTGGCAGTCGTTAGCCGTTGCCGCTCAAAGTGAGTGTATAGCAAGCAAACCTGGCATCGATTTACCGGATAAGTGGAACGCTTGGTTGACACGGGGTGAGATCGAACGACCAAGACTGCGTTAGTGCACAGCATCTCTGATCACTTCGCTTCACTGACCTTCGAATTAAATGCTATTATTGTATTCTTTAAATAAATAGCGTTGAGGAAACGTCTACAACATTAACGATCACCTGTATTACCTGTAATCCCGTTGATTATCGAGTGACTCGAGCGGGCGCCAATAAATCTTCCATTTTTCACTATCCCATGCAAGAGTAGCCCAGTGGGTTCTGCTCGCTTTAGGGACTCGTCCAGCATCATATCTTTCTTCAAGGCTCTTTGTGTGAAGAACTTTGACCATCGGGTCGGTGGTCTTCCTGCAGTACGTTTGACATCCCGAGGAATCCAGTCCATATCTTCGACTGCTTGGCGTATAGAACGGTATCTTTGTTTTTTGATCGTTGACGCAGGTCAGAGCTTCGGATCCAATCACTTACTTGTGTGGAACGGAATGCTCCTGGTATCGTCCTTTCGACTGCACGTTCGATAACGCTGCGTGAACTTTCATCTTGCTTACGCAGCGACCGGGTTTCTGACTCATACGTTAGGACAGGAAGTACCACTCAGTCGAAAAGGTGGGCAGGGAGTCAGGTGTTCTTTGTCCTCTTCACTACTTCCTCGATGCTTTTGAAAGCTCCACAAGCTGCTCGTTTCCTTCTGCTCAGCTCTGGAGCTAAGTGTTCATCATATTGATTTCCCGACCTTAGATAGACATAGCACTCGGCGATATTCGTTTCGCTGGGCGTGAATGGGGCGTACGGAACCAATCCATTCTTCATGAACATCGTTTTTGTGAGATTTAGTCGAAGACCAATCTTTCCACAGGCTTTATCAAAGTCGCGAAGCATACGTTCCACTTGGCTAATGTTTAGTGTTGTAAGGACGATGCCATCAGCAAAGCGTAGATGATGTAAGTGCGGACCATCGATTTTTACTCCCATATTATCCCATTCCAATGTTCGCATGACGTTCTGGAGGGTGGTGGTAACTAATTTTGACGAGATGGTATCGCCTTGCCTAACTACTCTTTTGGAATGGTATATCTTGGTTGTGAAATCTTTGTACAGCTCACGAAGAATCTTTGTGTACTGAGTAGGGACTCCTTGACTATCAAGGGCTTCCAAGACTGCTTCTATCTCAACTGAATCAAAGACCTTCTGTAAATCGATGAACGTGAGGCAGCGCGGTCTTTTGTACTCTCGCAATACTTCAATGAGTCTTGTAATCGCGTGGATGTGGTCCATCGTGCTAAATCCTTTTCGAAACCCTGCTTGCTCAAATGGCTGTCCTTTGTCCAGTGTTCTGTCAATCCTGTTTAGGATCAATTGAGTGAAGTGTTTGTAGACGACAGGCACTAAGAAGATTGGGGGATAGGTGATATCGTGTAGATCACCCTTCTTAAACAATAACACGGTCTTGCTGGTCTTCCACTGAGTAGAGACCTTGCATTCAGAGAGGTACGTGTAAAGAGCCTAGCCAGTGTGTTTACGAGGACTGGCGGATGGTTCTTCAGGTGTTCTGGTCTTATCTTGCGCGGGCTGGTGCTGTTCGATTTTTCACCGACGAAATGGCATGTCGGATTTCGGAAGGGAGAACCGGTGGTGCAACACATCCATCCTTCTTTATTTCATATGACGGGAGGGGACTTGGCTATCGAAGGGATTTGAGTAGTATTCGTGAATGATTTTCTCCATTGCCTTTCTCGCCGCTGTAAGTGTTCCATCTGGGCTTAGGAGTGCAATCATCTTGGTCCTGTAATTGGCGAAGCTTCGGTGGGCTTTGCGAATGCTTTTCCCAGCCTCTGCACCTCGACCATTATTGCTTCTCTTCCCTCTTTAAGATCTTATTTATCGCCTGTCTGCATTGTTTTGCAAGTTTGGACGTTAGTTCGCGGTTGCCTGCAGCTCGTGCAATTCCACGCTGGCGTATCAGCTCGAGTGTTTCTGGAGGCAGATGTCTCTTGATCACTTTCGAACACTCAGCTTTCATAGTGCTATCGTAAAGATATTGAATGAGCCGATTGTATTCTTCATCGATTTTATCAACAACGACATCTTCCCAACAGCTGAGTATTGAATTGAATAAGTCCCAGTTTGTGGTGGTTCTGCGACTTCGGTTTGTGAATTTAGCTGCTTTTTCTCCTTTCCACGAAAAATAGAATCTTGCACGAAGGAGGTGGTGGTCTGATGCGGTGTGGAATTTTGGAACAACAGCGGCATTGGTTAGGCAAAACCATTTATTTACTACGATGTGGTCTACTTCGTTGTGGTACTCTCCATTGGAGGACCCCCACGTCCAGCATTGAGGGCGGAGCTTCTGGAATTGCGAGTTACCATGGATGGTCTTGGTCGTCATGATAAACTCAAACAGCCTGTCACCCTGTTCGTTCCATTCCAATTCGTGGGTCCCAATGTGACGTTCTTCAGATGTTCTTCTTCGTCCAATCTTGGCGTCGAAATCTCCAATGATGACCTTGAGGAATGTATGGTCTTCTCTGTAGAACTTCTCCAAGTCCATATAGAACACTTCGACTTTTTTTCGTCATAGTTTGATGTCGGCGCGTAAACGCGTCTCAGGTTGTAAGCTGTTCGAATGAATCGATATTCATGGACAAACTCGTGTTGAGGAGAACGCTGACGCCGCCGACTCTATTATCGCATGTTCTGAGGAACACTTGTTCTCTCAGGTTGTAAGCTGTTCGAATGTGTCATAGACGGCGCTAAATAGGTGGCGTCTTCTCGTCTTGGCCACACCGACGACGTCATAACTTACCCTTCTTGCTTGCATGAGCAAGTGTTCTATTGAGTACTTGGATGCAAGTGAAAGTGGCATTATAGGTACAGATCGTCACCATAGTTCTTTGTAATCCAGGCAGCTTCCATTGGCCTTGAGATTTTAGCAGCCTTTCCGTACTCGTACTACCCAACGATGCGAAATTGGGACTCTTTCGAGGTCAGGGGAATGAAGCCCATTTTTTTCTTATTACTGTGTTTAGCATTTTGATACCCACGTATAGCTTGCTGAGCTCTGAAAGTGGGGGCCGGGTATACTCACAGGTAGTTTACCAGGCTCTCCCCGAGTGAACATGGAGCTTATTTGTAGGAGACGACTCTTAACCGCCTCCCATATACTTCTCAGTCACTTGATTGCAGGCTTTTGGCCGAATTGACTCGTGGAATACAATTCGCATAAACTAGAACGCAACCACACGCGCGTGCATGAATGCGCCTGGCATATGCAGAATGTATGTGCCAAGTCGGCGCAGCAGAAACAGGGAGTCCACCCCCCGGATCGATCTGCGGCTCAGGGAAGCAAAGGTCGCCTTTGGTCCGCGATTTAGCCTCTATTCGCCACCTGAGGACGCACCACGTAGCCTCGCGACTAAGCGGCTCGAGATCCCTCATATGAGTGAGATCCGTGGAATATTAACGGTGCATGAACGAAATCCACCCAGTTCAATATCTCGTTTTTGCTGAAATAAGATCCCGAACGGGAAAAAGCAAAATATCTCTGTCCGCTGCAAGAAATTGAAGCTTTATCCTTTGAGAATAGTAAAAAGTACTTTATTCTTAAAACGCGGCAGATTTTAACTGTTTTTAGTTCGATTAATGTAGTTTATTATGGACTAAAAGTTGTTGAAATATTTGAAATATGCAGTTATTTTCGGTTACGCTCGCATTGAATTCGCTGCGCAGAATCGGTAAAATGGTAATAGCGAAGGTCCACAGTGCGAAATTTTTTCTGTGTTTAGGCGTTATTGGGAAACTATTAACGCTTATTAATATGATGTGTATATACCATAGCCTCAGTATAACTGGGTTCATGCCGATTTGCGCTCACCAGATCAATCCCGTGTACGGGTGGTTGCTGACATAGCCGTTGACGGTCAATAACACAGGTGACAGACGGGCGAAACGAAGGACTCGCATTGGGTTGAGGTGCACGCTTTAGCCCACGGAAAGCGTAATAGCTCGTTCGCTCCGACCGCAAACACCAGCGGTCCGGAGTTTTGCAAATATATCAGCATCGTTATGGTTATATTCTGCATAATACCCTGACATCAAAAAAAAGAGTAGACGGTAAACAGGAAGTAATGACTTTATTTATGTAAACATACATATGTGTTGTTATATATATATATATATAT